GAATCACCTCTCCAGCGCAGTGGGGTGGGGGGAGGAAAACTCGAAGAAGCGGAGAAGCCCAAGAAACTGTGAGAAGAATATAGAAGAGAAAACGAAAAGAATAGAGTCAGGGAAAGGAAAATTTTCAGTCCCTTTTCCCGGAAAATTATTTCTTTCTTTTGATTGAAACTTTAATTTCTCTCCGTTTAATCGTCGCGATTATTGGAGGGAGGGAGGAAGGAAGAAGAGTGGTGTCTGCGAGCGATCGAGCGATCGATCACGAGCTTTGTGAGTTGCTCCTTTTCCCCTGGCGGAGTAAACGACGAGGGATTTCCCTATTGCGTTTGTTAACCGCGGGCGGCGAGAAGGGGGGCGATTTGTTCTTTCCCTATTGCGTTTTTCCCGATTGCCCGACTTTCGGGTATCTCTTTTGGCTCAGGTTTATTTCCTTCTCTGGCTTGCTTTTTGATTGGTTCGTCATTCTGATAATTTCGGTATCTGGGGAACTGGGGAGGTTTTGGGTAATGATTTCCCCCCTTTTTGCAGTTTAGTTTAACTTAAGGGGTTCGAGCTCTGGGTTTCTACTGAGTATAAAGTCGGAATTTTTAATGTTCACCTCCAACTGCCAACAATTCTAGCTTCCCATCTATAATTAATTTCTTTGTCCTTGTGTGAGCAGTTGTTCAACTATGCCTCTGTTGATACTGAGTTAGCTGAACTCCTAACTTATTTTAATCTGTGGTATGCGTTTGATAACTTTCGCATATATATCATGCAACGTAAGGAAGCCTACTTGTGTTATGTCGAGTCTTTTTTGCAAAAGGGGGTTGCTGAGTTATGAGGTTATGAATTGGGAAGTGTGGAGGAGGAGTTGGTTTTAGTCATTCATTTACTTCGTCAAACATGGCTCATGGTTTGCTTGTTACTTGTGTGCGTGATGAGGGCTAATGGGGGAAGGTGCACATGTCTGTTTGTGTTGTGTGTTTAGATCAACTAGGATCCACATTAACTTGTTGATGAATACCTATTAACACATTCTGAGAAGACATGTAGATGAAACTCGCCCCGCTTTAGCTTTTGGAGTATTTTATAAGTTTGAGTTTCTGGTGGCAGTTTTCACAAATTTAATGAGTGCAAGGTTTTCAACTGTGATTTTCCATTTACAAATCTTTTGAATGTCGACTGAAATTTATGATTCGTTGTTCATGCATATACTCAGGCTGACCAGTTATCTGTCTGGTTTCTGGGTTTTGGCAGATTGGGGACCTTCAAGTAACTTATAGCTTCTTGGCTTGCTACTCTGTCACAAACATTTATTGTGAATATAGAAGCAAAATACTGTGTATATAATGGGAATCTTCAGCAGGAGGTACAGATCGTTTCTTAGTGTTCTTCAAAGATAAATCTTACATTATTATTTGTGCTGCTTTGGCTGTTGTTTCCTTGTGAATGTATGAGTTTTTGTGAGCACAGTATTACTAAGACATCTGCAAATTTCTGTTTGCAGTGTTCTAAATAAAAAACCAAACGACAGCACGAGGCTTATTATAACGACATTCTTTGGAGTAGTTTTTGGATTTTTGATTGGAGTATCTTTCCCTTCATTATCTGTCTCAAAGGTATTATTGAATTCTATATGTTCTAATTGCTATCCCATGTGATTCCTTTCTTTCATCTCTTGTTATATGAGATAGATTGATGATGATGGTTTTAAGAACCTTCATTCCTTCTTATACTCTAGATGTTCATGTGATGTAACATTATGAGCTGTCTCACTTGCAGCTAAATTTTGCATCTGGCCTTCTTCCTACAATTGACTTATCATACATGGGTGAGAAAAAGTTGGGAATTTCTAGGCATTCAGTTACTAATAGTTCAAGCAACAGTACCACTAGCAGCTCCGCGAAATTGAATGATACTTCAAAGGTAAGTTCTATGGGGCATCTTATTCCAAGAAACTGATGCTTTGTTCAAGTGCATACATTCAGTGCATCCCACCGTGATTGAGGATCCCTTGCTTTCATTCATGTCTTCATACTGTGTGGATTGCAATAAGTAACATTAGTATATTATCAATTTAAATCATGATCTCTCATTTTCAATTGTCTTTATTATACTATACATATGGATACTAACAAAAGAATATTTTTCACATAGCTTCCACCATTTAGAATGTGTTACTTATCATCTATAAGGCATTTGAGGGTTTCCCTGAATGGAACTGTCAGCAATTGGTACAGAATAAGTGCATGGTGGTTTATCTCAATGTTCAGATCTCTCATCATCTCATTTCATTTATCTTGCACAGATCTGGATCCCTTCAAATCCTCGAGGTGCAGAGAGGTTGCCACCTGGAATCATTGTAGCTGAATCTGACTTAAACTTGAGAAGACTGTGGGGCAAACCCAGCGAGGTTTGTATTTTATTATGCCCTACCAGTAACATTTGTATGTCTGAACAGAAACTTGTATTAGAAATGTTTTCCCATTCAAGTAGCTGCCTTGGTTATGCTTCCTCAATTTTTTCCCCGGTAATTTATGCTTCCTCAATTTGCTATTCAAATAATCCATGATATTAAGTTTTGATTTGTTATGCTTCGATCTACAGGATTTAACCAATATACCTAAGTACCTTGTGACCTTCACAGTTGGTTACAATCAGAGACACAATATTGATGCATGTGTCAAGAAGGTCAGTAGTCCCTAGATTTAGTTATGTGTTGGGCCATATGAAAAAAGCAAAGCTTATACATTCATTTGCATAACTTTCAAGTTGCATCCTGCAGTTCTCAGGGAACTTTACAATCCTGTTGTTTCACTATGATGGTAGAGTCTCCGAGTGGGACCAGTTTGGGTGGTCGAGGCAGGCTATTCACGTGAGTGCTCGAAAGCAGACAAAGTGGTTAGTAAGACATCATATACTTGATTATTGAATCATGTTTAACTTCTGTTTCTCAAATAAATGTTGGTGTTTTTAAACTTTCTTTTTCCCAATTTCTGCACAGGTGGTATGCAAAGCGGTTTTTGCATCCAGATATTGTGGCTTCATATGACTACATTTTCATATGGGATGAGGATTTGGGAGTTGAACATTTCAACGCAGAAGAGTATGTCTAGATTTATTACTCTTTTGATGACTGCATCTGATTTTTTTTAATCTTCATGAGTTGCTAAGTACTTCTCTCTCAACCAGATACATAAAGCTAGTTAAGAAACATGGGTTGGAGCTCTCGCAGCCTGGATTGGAGCCTAATAATGGTCTGACCTGGCAGATGACAAAGAGGAGAGGTGATCAAGAAGTTCACAAGTAAAGACACCATTGAAACTGTGTAAACTATTTTTGCAAAACTAGGATCTTGTGTAATGAGCTAATATTACCTCCCTTTATTCATGTGTGAATCATTTACTAGGACGACGACTGAGAAACCTGGATGGTGCACAGACCCTCATGTGCCACCCTGTGCAGCGTAATGGACTTCTTACCTTACAAGTGTTTTTGCTATGTCTTGTTAAATCTATTTCTAAGTTCTTAAGGGAGATTTCTTATGGATGCAGTTTCGTTGAGATCATGGCTCCAGTGTTCTCTCGAGATGCATGGCGTTGTGTGTGGTACATGATTCAGGTCCAGAAATTGTTTCTTTCTTTCAGACATTGCTTATTGTATTTGCTCGGTTTTACTGTCAACTCTGACACATACTATGATCTCACAGAATGACTTGGTCCACGGATGGGGTCTTGACTTTGCCATGAGGAAATGTATAGAGGTATATACACGTCTTCCATTGGTATATCTGACACTTGATTCTCCACAGTCATGTAACCTACCATCTACTTCTGAATGAACTCAGCCTGCCCATGAGAAAATTGGAGTTGTTGATTCTCAATGGATTGTTCATCAACGCGTCCCTTCACTTGGAAACCAGGTAGAACAAGAAACCCATTTCCACTATTTCATTTCCTCTCACCTTTTGTGCTCCTCTCTCTACCCTTCATCCCTCCCTCGAGCATTTGAACTTGAAGAACTAATAAGATCACTTTGTTGTGTATACTATCTTTCTCCCAGGGTGAGGTGAAAGACGGAAAGCCATCATGGAAAGGGGTATGTTTGATTGATCCTCTTTGCATAACCTTCCATTATTACAGTTGCAGATGGAAACCAGGTCTCACTTGAGTGTGATGTTTGATGTATCTCGAGCAGGTGAGTGAGAGATGCAGGAAGGAATGGACCATGTTTCAGAACCGAGTAGCAAGTGCGGAGAACGAGTACTTTAAGAAACTGGCAACCGTCGGATCGAATGCCACTGCACATTGATGATAGGATGAACATGGAGAAGAGGAGGAAGGGCAAGTTGGGTTAGTATAGGAACACTCTTAGCATATGTACACTACCTTTCTTTTACAGCAGATTAGTAGGGGAGGCTACACACATATATATCTTAGAATCTATTTACTCTGTAAGTTGTAACCATCCTATTCTTATCTGAGAAATCATATTTCTATAGTTAAATCTCATGAACCACCCATCATCTTCTTCCCCACCTTGCCTTTCAAACCAGCACAGGAAACAAGCAGCAAGCAACAGCCTTGCTCTATTCTTCATAGTTTCAAATAGGTCAAACTCGACTTATCATCTTTCAACATATACATCTTTGACCAATGCAAGAATCATTCAAGTTTGATGTTCAGTGAGAGACGAAGTCGGCCAGAAACATGGGAAGTGGCCCCTTAGGCAACGCTCAAGAAGGACAGCTTTGACTTCCCCAGCCAAACTCATTAAGAAAGAAAGAAAGAAAGAAAGAAAGAAAGCAGCAGCCAGCAGCGCACGACACCTCATCTAAATTCAAGGACCTTCCTAAGTAAACTGATAGTAACCCTGTCCTTGTTCTGTTCCTAATCCTCTTTCCACAAGGCAGCCCATTCCTTGGTTCACCAGCCTCTGAAGCAACACGTGTCCACCACTTGCCAACAATAGTAATAATATTGTATGATATAAATATCACTTACCCTTGCTCTTCTTTTCCTCGGTTCTTGAAACCAAAAGAAGAATGCAACTGTTAAAGAATCAATCATCGTTCATCAGTTGCACCTCTCTTCCCCTAAACCTTACACGTGTTGCCGCGTGTTCTCCTCCAACCCATGGTTAAGGTATCTGGTGGTTTAGTGTAGACCGCATGTTTTTTCTTCCTCTTAAAATAAACAACCAAAAAGAGGCAGTGGAGTTGTATATATTCGTAATTACAAACATGGCTCCTCTGTTTTTCCTCTGTTCCGCTCCTCCCTCCAAAACCGACCCCAGAGAGGGAAAAGAAGGACCAACCCGTTGAATTCAATTGGTTTTGAAATCTGGGTTTTCCCCAAAACACCGGAAAGCATGGGGCTTTCGAATTTCCCAACCCCTTCGGAAGGGGTACTCCCCCTGCTAGTGGTCAACACGGTTCTCTCAGTTGCCCTGCTTAAGAACATGGTAAGGTCTCTGCTTCACTGGATTGTTACTTCTCCAATTAGATTTTATGAGAATCACGAAGACAATGGAATCGGAAGGATTAGAATCGGTAGTAGTAGAAGGAGGGGAAGAAGAATATCCATTACGCAGTTCAGGGCATTGAGTGGTGGTGGGGGTGAAGCTTCTTCGAACAGCTTCGACAATGGCGGAGGAGGAAGGAGTGCTTGGTTGGCTACGACAGTGGAGTGTTGTGTTTGCTTATGTGGGTTTGAAGCTGATGAGGAAGTGAGTGAGCTTTCTTGCAAGCATTTCTTCCACAAAGGTTGCCTGCAGAAATGGTTCGACAACCAGCACACTACTTGTCCACTCTGTCGATCCATTAAGTAGATTTGGTGGGGGAGAGGGAATTTCTGGTCAAGATTTTAGCAGAAATAAGGGGAAGACACAAGTTCAACTTGTCAGGAATTTCTCCATAGCTATAGTTTGTAGCTTAAAGCTTTCAAGTCTTAAGCTTCTTTGTGTTGTTTTTTTTCTCCCTTGAGGACTGTTGGTTGGGTTTTCTAGAAAGCAATGTGATTTTTGAGACCACAGTTTGTAAGCCATGGCTAATGCTTCATGAAGGGATTGGATTGGAACCATTTTGTGATGGCAGCTTCTTTTGATTGGGAGATTTGAGTTATAGGTCAAATTCTTATGATGAGGTCAAGTTGATATATCAAGCAAGTTGATAAAACAAATCCATGGTTGCAGCAGAATGGTAGTGATGTTTATTGTTTAGTATAAAACAAATCCCCAAAATCTCTTATTGGTTGGAAATGGGGCCAGCAGCCAATTTTTGGGAGGGTCAAAGTTCCATAATAATCTATATATGTTCACGTTTCTTACAATTACATGTTTAGAATTTCTATATCCCCATTTCCTTGGATTTCCATTGGTGTACGTAAACATCTACCATGTTTGTGTACAAGACAATACTACTATGGATCAGAATCAGTCGATAGTTTCTGAAGAGTTATTCCCAAACGAAAACAAGAGTTGCAAACTTAAATCCAAAGATTCAAGCAGAAGATAAATACAAAACATTATTTCACTTGTAGTTTCATCAGTATTATTATCTATAGCTAGCGATCTCATGTGGGGTGGGGTGTTTCTTGTTAGCCAAAGCTCATGGAGGACATGGTCTTGCTCCACTCAAACTTCTTGTGCTCCATCTTTATGAACTCTTCAGCTACACTGTCGACATTTTCACTGCAAATGTTTTCATCAGCAACTGTAACACACACCTTGGGCGACGGCAACGATGAAGCTCTCTCGTATCGCGCCATAACTTCCTCCCTTTTCGGAGGATAGTAGCAGTATCCACAGTCATCGGATGATGATGCTTCCCTGCTGTAGTACTGCTGGTTATAGCTATTTCTGGATGACATTTTTTGTGGTGATGATGAAAACTGAAATGGGGAAAAGAGAAGTGTGTTGGGTTGTTTGCATCTCTATTTTTTGGAGGTTATATAGGGTCCTTATCAATCATGTGATGTTGTCAAGTGATAAGGTGGAATCAAATTCTTTCTGTTCTTTAACTTTGTTGAAAGATCAAACATAGTAATCAGCATGGTATGCAAGAAGAGAATCTTGAGAAGGTGGAGGGAGGGGAATTCAAAACCTATTGCCTTTTTGAAAATATCCAAGTGGAGAGGGTATATTAGTGTTGCTGTTTAGGAATGACAGAAGATACTTCTATCTATGGCAGCAATTTTATTCTCCTTCGTCGAATATCCAATTATCAGTAGTTAGGATCATTAGCAAGTGTCAATATCTCACAATTGATGGATTGAATGGTCGATGTCTAAACGATTTGTTCTGTAACATAAAATGAGAAATAATCTTTGATAATAATTTTAATTGTTTGTGCAAGTTTATCGCTAGTATTCTCTTTTGATTTCAATATTATTATTAATCTTGCCAAAAAAACAATAATGAGAAGGTGGAAGAAGGAACATTTTAAATGTGTCATTTCACCTACTTTCCGTCTTAATCTGGTGAAGGTTGATGAAAAAGTTTTGGCAGTGGGAATCAAATTGCTTTTATGAATTATACAAGTAATTAATCATGTTAGGCTCACTACAACCATTACTTCTAGCTTTTCTTTCTTTCGTGAGCTGAATAAATAAACCACATGACAATGTGATTCGTCAAAGTTCTGATTTAGCCACATTTTCTAGATGGAAGCCAACGCTTTCAAGTACTTGACAAGATAACAATGAGAGTCTCTAAAGATTAAAGAAAGTAAATAACACATAACAATCTCATGCATCAAGCAAATTTCCACTTCAGGAGATGATAAAAAGATCAAAATGCTTTCCAGAATCACATACATACAAGATCGATGAGTATACTAAGTAAATGTGTTCCTTCTGAATTCAAATCAACATCCAATTCTCCCCACCCGTCATCGATGGCCAACTAAGAAAGAATACTCAATCACCAAGATCATCCACCTCTTCCAATCTCATTGTTTTAACATAAACCCTAAACACTATGATTTTAACAATAACATATGCATTGTTGTTTGTATATGGTTTCCCAGCAAAAATTTAATTAAAAAGTAAAAGCTCACCACATGAATCAATCAAATAATGCCCGACGTTGTTGTATCCTGTCACCCGATTTTCCTAAATCTCAACTTGACCAACAACTTTCAATGAGTATATTGGTTGTAACTTGTAACCAGTGAGATTGCTGCTCTCCTGATGGTGCCCCTATAGTCTAGATCTTACATTGGCATTTGGCGAGCAACAACTCTAATTGCATCATAACAAGCAAAGGTCGCATCTTAAAGACAATTTATACAAATATGGTCTCTTAGGGGTTGCTGCCAGCAGACAAGGAAGCATCGAGATTTCTCCATGGTGGGTCACAAGTAATGGCGGCTATATGTTGGATAAAACGACATCTCTTCAGCCACTTAAAATGGTGTCGCTTCCATGCCAAAGGAACGGTGGCGTTTTGGTTTCGGATAGTATTTCGTCCGTCGTAGTTGTCGTCTTCATCTAGAGTCTGTCAATCTGCAGCTTTCTGTTCTTCTCTCAAAAGATCGAAGAACCACTCTTCCAGAGCTCCGCCGCCTCTACTTAGCAAGCAATTATAATCGCTACATGGAGCGTCTTGTAGGAAACGACTATTTCCTTTTCTTCTATATATATCGAATGAGTTCTCCATTTGAATGCAGCGGTTGATAGTAAGAGAGATTGGGATTCTGTCTTGTCTATCATGGGCTGTTTTGGGTACCATCTTCGGTAGATAGGTCACAAGAGTTGAGAATTGGGTGATCTTGTCTTGGGAAGTTGGGATTGAGTGGTTTCTTCTGTATTCAAAAGTACCAAGTCTCTTGGCTTGGCTAGGGTTTGAGTAGATCAATTGTAACTCTGTTTCAATTTAAATAAAATCTATTTCTTTTCATATTCATTCAGATTCAACAATTGGTATCAGAGCTGGCTCTTTGAAGGACTAATCGTCGCCAAAGAGAAGATCACGAGATGTCTGGATCATCCTCAAGTGTAGTAGCCTATTCAGCAAATACAAACCCACCATGGTTCGATGGAACAGACTACACAGTCTGGAAGAAGAGGATGCGAATTTATCTCCGTGGAGTTGACGGAGAATTATGAGCTGTCGTCAGAAAGGGACCAGTCCCCATGAAAGATGAAGATGAAGAAGATTGGAAGGAAGACCAGAAGATTTCCTCACAGCTCGACTCAAGAGCTATGCACATTCTATTCTCAACATTATGCCCTGAGGAAAAAAGCCAAGTGGCTCAATGCGAATCAGCAAAAGAGATTTGGGAGTCTCTTCATACTACCCATGAAGGTACGTCTGAGGTCAAGGAGAGTAGGATAGATGTCTTATTAAATGAGTATGAATCGTTTGAAATGAGCTCAGAAGAGTCTATATCAAGCATGTATAAATGGTTTAATGATATGATAAATAGACTAAAAGGGTTAGGTAAAACCTTTGAAACCAAAGATCTAGTTAGAAAAGTTTTAAGATGTCTACCTAGAGAATGGTTACCTAAACGGACTACAATTGAAGAAGCCAAAGACCTGAATGTTCTATCTATTGAAAGGTAAGTTGGTTCATTGCTTAGTCATGATAAGTAATCATTCAAATGAATAAAGACGATCACAGAAGAAGAAAAGGCATTGTCTTTAAAGCTCAGGAATGTGATAGTGATTCTGATCTAGACATGGGGGAAGAATTTGAGAAAGAATTCGCCCTAGTAAGTAGAAAGTTTCATCGAATGTTCAAAATGAAAAAAGAGTTTCAGGCAAAAAGAGCATATCAGGATCCTAGAAACTTTAATAATAATCAGTTTTCTGAGTACATAAGAGAAAGAGAAGGATCTGATAGAAATCCTGCTAAGACATATGAAAGATACAACTCAAATCGATCATATTTTGAGAAAAACCCACCAAAAATGCATGATAGATTCTCTGAAGGTCGTGAAAGGTATAAAGTTGATAAGGAAGACAGTAAGTCTTCCATTGAGAAAGATTTGACAATTTGTTTTAAGTGTGGGAAGCCAGGGCATATGCGTTCAAGATGTCCTTTGAGTTCCAAAGCCAAAGAAAAAGCTCTTGCTGCTTCCTGGAGTGATTTCAGCTCAGAGGAAGAACCCAGGCAAGAACTTGGCATATATGGCTTTTGCTACAAAGAGTGAAAGTGATGGATAGTCCACAACCAGTAATGATCATCAACCTCCTTCATGTTATCAGGTAATTACCGACTCAGACTCAGAACAGGCAAGTAAACCTAAAGAAAAAGTTGATTTCTTGCATGCTCTAGCGAATCTTCAGGAAGAGTACAATAGACTCAAAAGCAAATATTGCTTACTAATGACCGATAACAAGTCTCTAAAAAGTGAAATTGAAACATTAAACAGATCATTAACTATCCAAAATGACTGGAACAAAAATCTAAACACAGAAGTTTTTAATCTTAAAAATGAAAATCAAAGGTTAAAAGACTTGTGTAAAACTAAGAATGTCCAAAATAAAAGTTACCAAGGCGAAAGTATGAATAAAAGATGGTCATCTTCAAGATTTCCTACTAAGAATTACAAGAATCAGTATCTGGACAGAAAGTATGAGAAATATCCTGTTGTTTTTACATGTTCCTACTGCAAAAGAAAAGGGCATTTAGCAAGATTTTGCTATGATTTAGAAAAACTAAGAAGACCTGCCATCACTAAAACATTTTGGGTTCCAAAATGTGCTAATCTCTGATTGACTGCAGAGTTTGGGAGAAAATGAGAACATCTGGTTTCTGGACAGTGGTTGCTCCCACCACATGACAGGTAAAAAGGAATTATTCTCTTCTTTAAGTTATAAAAAGGGTGGTAAAGTGGTATTTGGAGATGATCGTGTAGGAATCATCATGGGAAGTGGAATAATTGGTAGAAGTCCTCTTCCAACTATAAAAAATGTGTTGTTTGTGAAAGGGTTAAAACATAATCTTCTTTCGATAAGTCAACTGTGTAACTCTGAGAACAGAGTATTATTTGAATCAACATCATGCGAAATCATCAGAATAAAAGACAATAAATTATTATTTTGTGGAACTAAGAAAAATAATACGTATGTGGTAGATCTAAATTGTCTCAACACTTTTAATGAGACATGCTTTCAGGCTAAAACTCATGATTTGGAAATGTTATGGCACAGAAAACTTGGTCATATAAGTTTATCTAAGCTGTCGAAGCTATCAAAAATGAAGTCTGCACGAGGAATACCTCTGCTAAAAGAAGTACCTAAGTTCTGTTGTGATGCTTGTGTTGGTGGAAAAATGGTCAAGAAAAGTTTTAAATAAAAAAGGGATATAACCACTACTGAACCCTATGAGCTAATTCACATGGATTTATTTGGACCAAGTAATGTAATGAGTCTGGGGGGAAAATCCTATGCTTTTGTACTTGTTGATGATTTTTCTAGATATACTTGGGTATACCTTCTAGCATCCAAAGATGAAGCCCTTGTGCATTTTAAGAATTTTGTGCATCATATTCTGACTGAATCAAAGAATGGTATAAAAGTTATTCGCAGTGATAATGGAGGAAAGTTTATTTCTGATCAGTTTGGTGATATCTATAATGATAAAGGCATTACTCACACCTTCTCTGCTCCACGAACACCACAACAAAATGGTGTTGTGGAAAGAAAAAACAGAACCATAATAGAAACTGCTAGAACTATGTTGTTAGAGTATGGTTCTCCTAAATTTCTTTGGGGAGAAGCTGTGATGACTGTTGTCTATGTGATAAACAGGGTCTTAATTAGGAAATTCATAAACAAAACTCCCAATGAGATCATAAAACAAAAATTGCCAAATCTAGGATATTTCCACCCTTTTGGATGTAAGTGCTTCATCTTGAATAAAAAGGATCACCTATATAAGTTTGACTCCAAATCTGATCAAGGTATATTCTTAGGATATTCAATTAAAGGACAGGCATACAGAATATATAATCTAAGAACTAGAAAGGTTGACGGATCAGTGTTTGTAAAATTTGATGAATCTGAAAGCACTGACAGAGTCTCTGTAGAAAATATATAACTTTTGTTTCCTATGTTGAATGAAAAGGGGAGCACTGAGGAGCACCAAAGAGATTTGACTCAAAAAGAAAATCAGAAAGACAAAAGTGAATCAAGTGACGAGTTAAGCAAGGAAGAAGAAAGAAAGGAGGCTCCGCCCCACATTCAAAAACGACATCCACCCTCACAAATCATTGGTGAGCTAAATGAAGGTATTCATACCAGCGGAAAATACCAACCAGGTCAGTATGCCCTTATCTCTCTTTTAGAACCCAAGATCTATAAAGAAGCTCTGCTTGATGATGAGTGGTTGAATGATATGCAAGAAGAATTACTTCAGTTTGCTAGGTTACATGTTTGGGAACTTGTTCCTCGCCCCTTAGATTGCTTAATCATAGGTACAAAATGGGTTTTCAGAAATAAAACAGATGAAGAAGGACAAGTAATTAAAAATAAGGCAAGACTTGTGGCTCAAGGATATTTACAGGAAGGGGGGATTGATTTTGAAGAATCCTTTGCGCCAGTTGCATGTATTGAATCAATTAGAATGTTGCGTGCATATGCATGTTATATGAAAATCCCTCTATACCAAATGGACGTAAAAAGTGCGTTTTTAAATGGTGAGATAAAAGAGTAAGTGTATGTAAGTCAACCATCAGGTTTTACTGATCATAATCATCCTAACCATGTGTACAAGCTGTCTAAACCGTTGTATGGATTAAAACAGGCTCCTAGGGCTTGGTACGATAAATTATCCACCTTTTTGAAAAATGAAGGTTTTTCCCGAGGGAACGTTGATAAAACATTGTTCATCAAGAAAGAAAACTCAGAAACTTTGAATGTGCAAATATATGTCGATGACATAGTATTTGGATCAACAAACCCTGAAATGTGCACTAAATTTTGTAAAATCATGAAGTCAGAATTCGAGATGTGTATGATGGGAGAACTATCACACTTCCTAGGATTACAAATTAAGCAAACTAAATCAGGAATATTCATAAATCAATCTAGTTACACTAAAGCTATGCTCAAGAAATTCGACATGAATTTTGTGAATGAAAGTCCAACACCTATGGCTGCAAATCTAAAACTTGACAAAGACGAAGGAGGAAAAGCATTTTGTGAGAAAAAATACAGAGGGATGATTGGATCTCTCCTCTATTTGACAGCCAGTAGACCTGATATTCAATTTAGTGTAGGGTTGTGTGCAAGATTCCAATCAAGTCCCAAAGAAAGCCACTTTAAAGCTGTCAAACGAATTTTCAGATATCTAAAAGGAACAATCAATGTAGGGCTTTGGTATCCAATTTCTGATTCATTTGAACTAGTTGGCTATAGTGATTCAGACTTTGGAGGAAGTCTAGTGGATAGAAAGAGTACTTCAGGTACTATTCAGTTCCTTGGACCTGCTCTGGTTTCATGGTTTAGTAAAAAACAAGGGGCAGTGGCTCTTTCAACAGCTGAAGCTGAATATATGGCGGCTGGAAGCTGTTGTGCTCAAATTATGTGGATGAAAGCCCAGTTGTCTAATTATGGTTTTAATTTCAAAGATATTCAAGTATGCTGTGATAATACAAGTGCAATCAGTATGACAAAAAATCTTGTCCAACACTCTAGAACAAAGCATATTGAAATAAAATATCACTTTTTAGAGATCTAATCCAAGCAGGACACATATGCTTACAGTTTGTTTCGACTGAGTCACAACTAACCGACCTATTTACCAAAGCGCTCCCCAGTGAACGTTTCTTGCAGATATGCACGGAACTAGGGCTCAAATCTGCATGTCAGATTAGAAATCTTTCTCACTAAACCTTGATTAGCCCTCTCTTCTACTCTAGGTATTTAGTGTGTCTTGATTTAGCAAATAGACGCTTTTTTGTTCATGTTTGCATTGTTCCAAGACAAAACCATGGAAGCTGCCATCTAATCATTACACTTTTCTTTGCCTTTTCCTGCGGGAAACCCTTCGGCTTCCATCCGCTCCTCTCTTCTCTCAGCCTATATAAATCTACTCCCTTTCTACTCTTCTCCTCACACTATTCTAGCAACTCAGATCATCCAAACTCAGAGAGAATTTCAGCCATCCAGAATGAGTGATTATATGCCTCGCCCCTTTCGTTTCGATGGGTTGGTTCACACCTTCTCAGGATATATGTTCCATGAGCCCAGGGTGCTGAACCATCATCGGTACCTCCAGCATTTTGACAAGAGAAGGCTCCATCACATCACCCAACTTGACCCTTATGAGTTTAATGTCTATAAGTATGACATTATCTCTCTCATCGAAGGGCTTGGGTGGGACTTTCTTCTTCAACAACCTATTCATCCTGCTTGTCCAGGAGCTGTCAAATACTTCTTCTCAAATCTCCTCGAGGAGGTTCACCACACTGGTTTATGGTCACCTGTTAACCATACCAGTGGAGGCTCTTAATGGTATTCTCGGCTTCCCATCTCAGGGGCTTGGCCTGGCTCACCCATATGAGTTTTGGAAGCATGAGTTCAAGATTGAGGTGGAGTACAACAACTTCTCCACAGAGTCAACTGGTGGCTCTGATGTCCCAATCCCTGTCTCCTGGCTACCTCCAAGGCTGAGGATTTTTCATTATTTCCTCACTCACGTTTTCCTCCCTCGATCCTTCAACCAGGATTGTGTTCTCCCAATGAACCTCTGGATTATTGCCAGTGCAACAGCAAGAAGGAAGCTCGATTTCGCAAGCATCATGTTTGGTCAGTTTCTCCCTGTGGGGAACGGAAGTTACAAAGGTCTCTTACCTTTCGGTTCCATCATCACACGCCTGTTGATCAACCTAGGAGTTGACTTATCAGAGTTTCGAAGTATCTTTTCCACAATGTATGTCAGTGCACTATACGTGCTAATGGTACTTGATCTGCCTACTGACATACCTCCTCCTCCTCCTCCTCCGTCTGCATCTCTTCTGGGCCCCCCCTCCAAAATCTCATAACTACCTCCTCTGATGATTCTGTAGCTTCTGCCCCTCCTGCCTGAACCTTCTATTTCTCTTATATTTATGTTGTAGTGCTCGTTGTACTCTTCTCTTGTTTTTAAGGAGCCTTTTGTTCAGGGAGAATGAGTCTCTTAGTCTCTAGGTAGTTAAGAACTGATGTCCAGTTCCAGCAAGTTAGGGGGAACATCTTCGATGTTTCCATATTATGTCCTCTCAACCCCCCTTAGTATCATGCTCCTCCTGTAACCGCTTTAAATGAATGCATTTATGTTTTCGATTTGGATCCTTGGTCTGCTGGTGTGTTGTCTGCTTATGTTTTGCAGGTTCTCCAACTTCTCGGACGAAGGGGGAAATTGTTGGATAAAACGACATCTCTTCAGCCACTTAAAACGGTGTCGCTTCCATGCCCAAGGAACGGTGGCGTTTTGGTTTCGGATAGTATTTCGTCCGTCGCAGTTGTCGTCTTCATCTCGAGTTTGTCAATCTGCAGCTTTCTGTTCTTCTCTCAATAGATCGAAGAGCCACTCTTCCAGAGCTCCACCGCCTCTACTTAGCAAGCAATTATAATCGCTACATGGAGCGTCTTGTAGGAAACGGCTATTTCCTTTTCTTCCTATATATATCGAGTGAGTTCTCCATTTGAATGCAGCGGTTGATAGTAAGAGAGATTGGGATTATGTCTTGTCTATCATGGGCTGTTTTGGGTACCATCTTCAGTAGATAGGTCACAGGAGTTGAGAACTGGGTGATCTTGTCTTGGGAAGTTGCGATTGAGTGGTTTTCTTCTGTATTCAAAAGTGCCAAGTCTCTTGGCTTGGCTAGGGTTTGAGTAGATCAATTGTAACTCTGTTTCAATTTAAATAAAATCTATTTCTTTTCATATTCATTCAAATTCAATACTATAGAGGTATCCCATGGAAGATCCAGACCATGATAGACAAGCAAAAAAGTCCTGGCATGTTGGGTCAGAACTCAGAAGGCACAGTCAATGGGTTCAACCCAACCCAACTAAACTTCATGGCGGCCCAACCACGGCTCATAACTAGTCCAGGCCTCCCCAATGGAAGCCTTCACCCATACAAAACAAACGACTACAAAGGAAAATGACAGAAAGAGAGTAGACAGCTTTTGCAACTCCTTCGATTAGGATTTAGTCCCGAAAATACTCTCCAGGAGAGCTCTGAAAAAGGGTAGACAAAGAGAGAAATTGTTCTAAAATTTGGAAGAGTCGATTTGGAGTTAGAAGGATGCTAATATTGAAGGTATTTGATATGGTTTTTTTTTTGTTCTTCCTGTATCGATGTGGTATTAGAAGCTAAGGTATTTGACATGGTTTATTCTTTTGTTCTACCTGTATTGATGTGGTATTAGAGACCTACATTATGGTACAATGCTAGATATATCATTTTCATTTTATGTATTTCTTCTGATGTTGAGTTGCGCACCTTAAGAATAAGATTAAACTTCTTTTCGGATATGAAATTGATTAGAAATGATGTTTCATCTTTAAATATCACCGAACACAATAATCGGGAGATTACTCAAGACATAAATTTGTAGTCCTAAGAAAGTAAAATATTAGGGATTTTTGTGTGAATGGAAATGAAGGGAAGGGAGTCAGCATTATACTAATATTGCTACTACTAGCATTATACTAATATTGCTACTACTAACTGATGATACTGCTAACTACTGCTACTAACTGATGCTGCTAACTTCTATCGCTATGGCTAGTCTTCCACTTGGGGAAATGAGAAACATATGGAATTAACTGCTACTAATGGAATTGAATTCAATCCATTTCAGTTTGCAAAAGCACATAAATCAAGCAGGTATCAGATTAGTAGGGACAGAGAAAGAGAGTCAGAAAGGAGAGGAAGGAGGGACATAGGGATAAACTTGGAACAAAAATAGAGAAAACGTGGGAATGCCCAATTCCAGCGCTAGTATTTATAATTCCCACGAATGTGGTAATTGGACTCAATTTCAATGGTCCAATTTTCATATTATTTTTTATCATCCAAACATGAATTTTAATCCACTTACTACATTACGTGGTAATTGGACCCAATTCCCACATTACATTTCCACATCCAAATGACTTCTTATTGGAGCTATGGCTCCCCTTATGCCCTTTGCCTGTGATTAAATGCAAACCTCTGCACCTAAAAAATGATAGAACCAAGGTGATAAATTAAACTAAATCATACACAAGAACAAGGTCTAGTTAAATCAACCCTTTCCTGAACAAGGAGATGATTATGTGGTGTATGATGTAAGGAGTTGACAACCATGTGAAGTTTCCCTCAATGAATTGACGATCTTCATTGACACAACTCACTAACTCACTCTCTGAATTCTCAGCAGAAATGGGCAGATTTCAGTTGCCACTAACATACGTACCACTCCATCAAAGAAAACCCAGATAAGAAAAGGTTCTAAGAGCAGGAATAGCCAACTAGGATTTGAATTAATTATGACATAGCAGATTTACAACCTTCAATTCTTTCAGAAACCCTAGAATCTAACAATCGGAATTCTAAAATTCCAGCAAATACAGAAACGACAAGCGAAACAACATTAGAGAAAGCCTTAAACAACCAAAACGCAAAGCCACCTACTAGAACAAAATAGTTGGGTCTAATCCCTCTCGCCTCTAATCCTCCTGGCGAGCTGGATGTCCTTGGGCATGATAGTGACCCTCTTGGCGTGGATCGCGCAGAGGTTAGTGTCCTCGAAAAGCCCGACCAAGTACGCCTCGGCGGCCTCCTGGAGCGCCGAAACGGCGCTGCTCTGGAACCTCAGATCCGTCTTGAAATCCTGCGCGATTTCCCTCACCAGCCTCTGGAACGGAAGCTTCCGGATCAGCAGCTCGGTGCTCTTTTGGTACTTGCGGATCTCCCTCAGCGCCACGGTTCCTGGCCTGAATCGGTGAGGCTTCTTAACCCCTCCGGTTGCCGGAGCCGACTTGCGTGCGGCCTTCGTCGCCAGCTGCTTCCTCGGTGCCTTGCCGCCGGTCGACTTCCTCGCCGCCTTGCCGCCGGTCGACTTCCTCGCCGCCTTGCCGCCGGTCGACTTCCTCGCCGTCTGCTTCGTGCGGGCCATATATGAGGGGGAATTGGTGAGAAGATTAAGATCTGGATTTTGCAGAAGAGGATTGGAGAAGAAGTAGCTAGGTTTACTGAAAATGGTTGGCGATGGAGGTGTGGAAATGGCAGATTGTGTATATATAGGGAGGCGGGTTTTTGTTTCAGGGGAGGGTTGGAAAGATTTGAAAATTTTAGTGTGTACCGCCAAAAGTTGTGAGATGATTCCTAACCGTTGATTGGGGAGACGATTGGACGGTCTGAGATGGCAATCCGCGTGGTGTCTTGTAATTTTCAAGTTTCAACCAATGGGAGTGTTGCCTTTTCCCGGTCCAGTAGCTTTATCTCGACCGTCGGTTGATGGGTTAATGAGTGGTTGAGATTAGGTTAAATTAGAGCGACACGGATCGCAATATGTGGGCTTTGGGACCAGACGGAGTGAGCTGTGGTGGGCTTTGGTCCATTGCATGTCATGTTCTCTATTGGACTAATGGGTTCGGCCTTTATTTTTCTCCGAGTCCCCGAGTCCGAATCACCCTTGCTTAGGCCACAAAGTGACTAAGGGATCGTTTGGAAGTTGCGATTGTTTTGTTGAGATTGTCATTATGCATAATGCATCATTTTTTTGTTTTCTTAGCAGAAACAATACATGAATTGTTTCTATGATGTGACAGAAACTAGGCTAAATTACACGTTTGGTCACTCAAATTATACAAATTTTTCACGTTTGCCACCCGAATTACTTTGATTTCTTATTCACCACTAACTTTACGAATCATTTCACCATTAGTCACCGGCCGTTACACTCCGTTAAATTTGTCCTACGTGGCAGTCAACTATAAAGTTTGACTGTTAACTAGATGACATGGAAATAAAAAAAGTTAAAAAAAAAATTTATTTGTCCACCTCATCATCCACTTACTTTATATATATGATTTATCATATTAATTATTTAATAAAAAATAATTAAGTTACCAAAAAAAATTAAATTAGAATATCCGCCACTACGTCGGCGAGAAACCCGGATGGTCGCCGTGCACCGATGTTGGGGAGCTGATACTTGACGGCGACTATAGGGAGCCCGACGAGCTTGGAGGCGAGGAAGGAAGTCATCGATGACCTGATGACAGAGAAAGGTAACCTTCCCCTGCTACTGGGGTTGAAGTTCTCTGCTTTACGAGAATGTTTGAAGCTTCCAAATTCCCGTGGTAAATTTTCTCGGAGTGGAGACACTCCATCCCCTCGAGCAATCTCCACATTACATCAATGGCGACGGGGAGCGAAAAGGGTAGTCACTTGTTCCTCGGGCCACATACTTTCTTGATGTAGCTCTTGATGTCTCTGCAACTCATCAGTTCCGTCACCAAGAAACACTCTTTCTTGTCCTCGTCGGTGAACCCACAGAGAAATTGCAGAATGTTGGGATGTGACCGCGACGAAAGTCGAGAAATCCCAGGAATCATAGGGTCAACATTGTCGATCAAGGAACTCCTGATGGCGAAGCTTTCACCGCCAAGCCATTGAATCTCCTTGAACTGGCTCCCTCCCCCGAGCCTTCGCTTCACCTGGTAATCTCTCTAACCGACTAGAATCGAACTGGGGAAGAGCTTCCAGTTCCCTTCCAGTCTCTTCACGATTAGATCGTCCAACTGCCAATACGGCTTCATCGACCAGAAGCTGGAATTCTTTCCCTTCAGCATGTTCAGCAGAATCCACCGGTGATGACCAACTTCCTTTTCCTGTGGGTGTCTTCCTGATCAGAGCCGGAGAATTCATCGGCGATCTTGATGGCCGTAGGCATCGCAGAGATTAAGTTGTGGATGTGGAACTCGACGCATTCTCTATTATGGTGGAGGTGCAGAGCTTTGCCCCATAACATCAATCCTTCGTCGGAGAAAGTAAGGAACAACGAACAGAGTTCAAAGATATGAGTGAAGGAAGGGGAAAAAGCTGTTTGCTATCCCTTTTTCCCTGATTCAAATTTGGTCTCTGTTTCTGGTGCGCTACCAAACAGAGGGAAAAAGAAGAAGAGAGACATGTGAAAACTGGGGAAAAGTGTGCAACTTTAATGATTCAAGGAGGAAACCGGGTGGTCCATTGATCCGGGTCTCTACGTATAATATAATTAATTTTGGTAATTTAATTAACTTTTATTAAATAATTTTTATAATAAGTCACATAGACAAATAGACAAAGTAAGTGGAATGATTAGGTGGAAAAAATATATTTATTTTTTATTTTTAAAATTTCCACGTCATCTAGTTAACAGTCAAACTTTATAGTTGACTGCCACGTAGGACAAATTTAACGGAGTGTAACGGCCGGTGACTAATGGTGAAACGATTCGTAAAGTTAGTGGTGAATAAGAAAGAAAAGTAATTCGGGTGGCAAACGTGAAAGATTTATATAATTTGAGTGACCAAACGTGTAATTTAGCTCAGAAACTATTACTCATTTTGAGTGATTGTTATATCTCAACTTTTAGTTGTGATTGTTGAGATAGTTGAGTTGAGATTGTTTTGTCTCAGCTTTTAGCTGATGCGACATACACAATCACACATACCAAGCGTTGTATTCTACAATGCATCAAATTCGACAATACATGTATAATATTATACATGCATTCTCAACAATACATCTATTTAACAATCGCAACTTCCAAACGACCCTAAATTATAACTAGTTTTGGGACCAGACGGAGTGAACTTTGGTGGGCTTTGGTCCATTGCATGTCATGTTCTCTATTGGACTAATGGGTTCGGTCTTTATTTTTCTCAGAGTCCCCGAGTCCGAATCACCCTTGCTTAGGCCACAGAGTGACTAAATTATAACTAGTTTTGATTGGCTGGATTAGTTAAATTTACTATTTAATTTACTAAATATGGAATGAGGGAGAGTGCTAGAGTAAATAAACATTTATTTGGGTCGAACCCACAATGTGAATCTATTTGAGTCCATATAATTATACCTATAAAGAAATATCGACCATCTAGCTATTCGCATTAAACCAATTCATACCTTCATTATTGGTATTTCCACATTTATGTTCGTTATACAAAAATAATTGCAAAAATTATATTAGAGTGGATATTCTTTTTTTTTTTTGTAGCCAATGTAATAGGTCTAATTTATACTCAAACTAAATAGTCGTTTATTAGTATGACCTTCAAGTGATATTACCAAATATGATTTGACTGGTAATAAATTGGGTTTGGGAAGGATTTTTTTTTTGCAATTCATAGTGTAGGGAAATTTTTAGGCCACGTATGACATTAGTTGTTCATCCATCACTACATCCAACGCTAAGGTATCACTTTCCCATTAGACTTTTTAATTTACTGCGAAATGAAATGATCTAAATTCCTTTAATTTTGGGTTTCAAACTAGTAAATTTGCAATCACTTATTTATATAGTTTTCATCTCCTACTTTTAAATGTGTGAGATTTAAAGTTTCTTTATCTAAATTTCATAGCAAAATATGGACCTGTAAACATTGGCAAAGGTGAGCGAACAACTAAATATCACAATGATTGTAGCTTTAGTGGTATGGAGGTATATTTGAGCTCATAAATCAATTAACATCATCTCATCTTTCATTGAAAACTAAGTGAAATTTAGGGAGTCATTCATTGTTATATAAAAGTATTGGAGTAAAATATGTTTGGAAACTGAAATTGCATGCATTAGTGAATAATAGAGTTCTTAATTGATATATATATATATATATATATATATGTAAGAGGAGTATATTATATCCATAACCCATTAAAAAATATACAACAAATTTGTTCAGTCTAATTTGTTATGATCAAGTTGTCACTCGATTCCACCAATGAGTCGTTTAAGCAAGTGGGTTAAGGATTAATGGATGAATTGGATTAACCTGGTTAAGCCTAGCTTTACCCAGGTGCATGGAAATTTTATTGATTTCACATGTATTATGCTTAGATATTTATGACATTTCTACGATAAATTTAGATACAATGACAATTTAATATAACTTATTCACTGGAATTGAGTTTCATTTTTATACTTTTCACTCCCTTGGAACTGATGCTTTAAAATGACGCTTTAATTCGAAATCTCTTACCTATTTCTTTTATCTTTTACCATTTCATTTTCTTGTTTTTTCTTTTCTTCTTTTCTTTTCATTGCATATCATATTCCATTCTCAATGTCCTTACTCTTCTTCTCCAATTTGATTTCATGTATATATACAAATGAGGACATTGGTCTTTGTTAATCACACCAAGTCTCAATCCAAATATATGTTCGCCTAATCTTGTGGCTTATTCTTTGTTTGAGATGTGGTTGATTGGCGATGTGACCTTGCTGCTGGAAGGAAAATGGAATTGACTACCGAGGAACTGTGTTGGCTTTTGAGATGATTGTTGCCTGCCGATACTAAAGGAGTAAAAGATATTATGGGATAACCGAACACGGGTGGTTGATGTATGTTGCTCCATGGGTCTTTGATAAGGAAAAGGACGACATGTCAATAGAGCTAGTGATTAGATTTGTTGAAAATGATGACTGTTTGAAGTGACCCAGTGCTTAGATGAGTTAGTTGAATCAACTCGATTTCCTAATTCAACTAGTTTTCTTAGTTTGACCAAGTTTGGGTTGATAACCAACTGGGCCTCCAACATCCTAACAAATACTCGGGTTTGAGCAAAACTGATTCGCCCAACCATGTCAACTTGGGTTGACAATCATGCTTATGATTCTTGTCTTTTTTGGAAGATAGATTGGCTCAAATTCCAATACTTGTTTATTTTCTACAAATAAATAAGTTTAATAATTGTTAAGGCAAATATATCATTCATACTTTCGCTCTCGTTGTAGGAATTTGAAACGGGAAAATACTTTTCTCATTCCAGCCTTATATATTGTATTATGTTTAGACGTAGACATATGTCATTGCTCTAGAAATTCATTAATATGTCAAAAAATAGTGAAACGAACCAATAATTAAACTCAATCTCGTACAAAGATCATTGGATCTAAGCCAGATTAGGAACATGTTGAAAGCTTAGCAGTTAACCGGGCTAAAACGTTAAAAAAACCATTCCCATATAATCTGCATAAGGATATGATTTCTTCATAGTTAAATCTACAATTAATACTAATTTAAAATTTTGACATTGCTTCGACCTATTTAATACTCTAATTTTGACATTGCCTCGACTAAAGGTCTCCAGACCCTCTCAATCTGAGTCCCCAGCGGGCGACTAACCTCCACCGGAGTAAACAGATTGAGGCCCTAACAAAACAAACCTCCACTACCGAAGTAAATCCGGTACAGAATAGTGAACTGACTTCTCGACTAAATTCGTCAATTCACTACCTTCAATCAAGGGTGCTCTATCAACCTAGGAAGATATTCTCTTTCTAAGTCAAAGCAGAAACAACAGGAATTTGATCAGGATTCATGCCATTCAACAAATCAGACCTCAATTGAATATAATCAAATCAATGGATTTATACTTGGGTTCATACAATCAGACCTAACATACAAATCTAGGGTTCTTCATACCCAGGTGAATGTGGAAGTTACTCCATGGAGAGAGAAGCAAACTCTAGCTCAGAAGCAGAAATCATGCTGTGAAGAATGAGGTTCTGCTTCTGGTCGTCAATCGACACTTCTCCAAGTGTTATCCGGGCTCCACTGATGATAAAGATCGATCTAAGGCGCTTGGGAACTCTGATTCGTCGCCTTCTCTCTCTAGGTATTACTTTCTTTCTCTAAAACTCGGAACCCCTTCACAATTGGCCTTCTTTCCCTTAAAATCCAGCTGCTCGTGTTCCCTGACCATAATCCCCGGTAGGGTATTTCAGGTGCCTGGCCGGGATTGCGAAACGCAGCACAGCGGTGAAGGCCTTAATACCCGATCGAGTATTTTTGCTCTCTGGCCGGGACCCATTCTGTTTCTCAACGTCCAAAAATGCTTTTCCCCAGCCTCCATGGAATTTTACCCGGCCGGGTATTATTGCTCATGGCCGGGTATTTTGCTCCTCCAGCACCCTTCAACTCAAACGTCCTCCTTTTGACCCGAAACTCATTTCTTCGCCTCAACGTCAACGCCAAGCCCTGAAATATGACATAAACACACAACCTAGCGTGCAATCGGCTTAAAACACGAGAATCAACATCTCAAACGGCTCAAGAATGGAGGTAAAATACGTGCAATCAATGGTCTATCAAATTCCCCCACACTTAACCGTTTGCTTGTCCCCAAGTAAACCTAACTCAAACCAATGCAACTCTCCAGACCTCTATAGCAACAAACAACCTCGATCGTCGGTAGAGGATTTCCTAGATCATATAGCAGCTTACGAGGTCAACTGGTCTTCTAAGACGTTCCCAATCTCTCTCAATGCGAGTACTTCTTTTAACTCCTTTTTCTCAACTCGTGTGGAGGGTCAATGAAATTAAGGGGGGTCGGAAGCTCTATCCGTGCCCTTAAAAACACATCCTCGAGTAGGCAAACCGTTCAACGGGTGAAAGTTTTACTTGTACTAGAGACCGCTTAGCTTCACCTTGTAGGAGTACCCCACTAAGGATAACTAAAATCTCTTCCAAAACCCGATTTTGTGCAATGAACGGTGCCACACACGTTGGCCTTACCTATAGGTGTCAATCGGGCGGGTTCGGGCTGGGTTCAATAGGGTTCGGGTTCAAACGGGTTGCGGGTTAGTCGGGTTGTGGGTTCATCGGGTTCGGGTTCATCGGGTTCGGGTTCAAACGGGTTGCGGGTTAGTCGGGTTGCGGGTTCATCGGGTTCGGATTCAATCGGGTTGCGGGCAAATCGGGTTGCGGGTTCATCGGGTTTTGGGTTGGGCGGGTTGCGGGCGGGTCGGGTTTCGGGTTGTTCGGGCCAACGCATCAAGTAACTTAACTCATTACTCATTACCGACTTACACATTTTATTACACTAATTTAAAATATTTTCTCAACTTTTTAACCAATTTATTTCTACCTCGTATATATATACTTTATGTTTTTTTTAAAAACTAGTCAAAATGTTAAATCAATTGTATGACTTGCAAACTTGTTATGTAATTAATCATAATTCGTAAAGTATTATAGCTAATAGTAATGGTGATATCAATATTTGCAACCAAAAGACACCGTT